AAACATGCACATTTCACTGTTAGATGCTGTGTAATTTTAGTAAGTCGTATTGTCTACCTCCAACCCAAAGCCCATGCAAATTCACGATGTAGTCCCATCAACACTTCCATTATAACTGAATAATTTAGATTTTTTTTTATTTTATACATTTCATAGCACTTTTACATGATATTTACACTCTTTTTATTACAGAACAGGGGAGATGACGTTTATACTTTACTACCAAAATCTCACACATTAGCAGCAGTGTAAAACTATTCTCATATCCACTTTTCTCTTCATGCATTAAAAATTATTACAGTAGTTTTAGCACAAACTGATCGATTTCACCCTACCAACCTATATTCAGAGAGAATGAGCGAGCAAAACAATAAACTTGCCTAAATGGTAAGTTCTTTTGCGCGCGGTGTCCTTTTTCATTGGTTTTGAGGCGCGTCCTAAGTTCGGAGCCATTGCCGTTCTCAGCGGACGCGCTCGGTGCCGCGTTAACTACTCGCGCTGAAGATCGTGTTTTAACCATTGTTGACGACCGACACTTTCATCTCAACTGAAAAGGAGTCCGAAAACGGACAGATATCGGCTATCATAAAAAACAAAATCAAGAGGTTTTTTTCTGGAAAATTTCTTCAACAACAAAACAAAGATGGACATCGGGAGCAAACTTATTTCTCTTACTACAACTGTGAAATGCAAGTATGGGGAATGGAGGTGCAAGACTATTACTGTCATCTAATAATTCTACTTAGTCATCAATGGTTAAAACATATCTTACAGCTTTTAACATCTACAAACCACTATTCCTAAACCCATAATCAATTTACAAGTTGGCGGTCCTTTTTGTATTAAAAGCAAATAATTCCACTGCAACTGTGAAGCAGCATTGCTAGGGAGAAAAAATATATTAACAATTATGGGATGGCTGGCAACCGAGAGCGCCGCTTGTGACAGGAACTGAATTGTAAGAGAAATAAGTTGTCTATCCTGTCAAGGAAATTTTCCAGAAAATTGTAGGGCAATGGGTTATTTTTAAAAGGCTTTTCATAGATTTACTGAAAAGTTCTGAACCTAAGCTACATGTACCGTTGCAAGTTCTGTACTAATATCAAAACCAATAATTAATCTACCATTTAAGGACAATTTGTATGAACAATTTCGTTTTAGTTTCAATTGTAAAAATCAGTAAAAAAACCAGTGCATTTAATTAACTTAAAACATGATGGGCTATCTATAGAAATTATTGAATACTGAACCTGGGCTATAATCTATGATTTTAAAACACGTAAGATCTCATAGGAGTATTTAGTC